TCTCTCTCTCTCTCTCTCTCTCTCTCTCTCTCTCTCTCTCTCTCTCTCTCGCTCTTTCTTACCAACCTTCTTCTTTGTTTTCATCCCCTCTCGCTCCATTTCCTCCCTCCCTCTCAAAAGTTGCACATGGTTTCTGTCTGAAGAGGTTTAGTTTCCTCAGGCTCTGGATGGGAGAGGGATGATGCCAGAAAGCACATGTTCAAAACTCAAGAGGAGCTTTGTTCTTCAGCACTGATAGACTTGCAAGAATATTTGAAATAATCCAGAAATCAGACAGTTTTTGGGTTGCACAGGTGCATTTGCATTTTGCCCATATGGAATAACATTCAATGTGGCTGAAACCTGACGTCTTTGCTTTTTGTTTACCGATTTTGAATATGTGGAAGTAAGACATTTTGGGACTTTTGGGCTTTCTTCTTTCTTTGCAAAACTGGAAAATGCTTCACGGATGACTTTTGGCACCTCAAAGCTACATTGCTGACTGCCTTTGTTGTTCCTGGACACTTGCTTTGTGGAAGAAAAGGTGAAGAGGACTGCCATATACCGCTATCAAGTTGAACATCAGCAAACTAGACCACAACTTGTTTGTAAAGGATTCTTGAGTGAAGAATCATGAAAGGTAGAGTAATTTCTCTGATTTCTTAAGGGTTAATATATTGTGTTAATTCTGAGCACCTACAAATTCCATCTTCCTACTCTCTAGTCATGCAAAAAAAAATCTTACCAATACCTGTGTGCATTTTCCACTGGTAAAAATACTTAAAAACATAGACATGAACAGTATCCGTCATTGTGGCATTCGGGCAGGCACCTGCACAGAGTACCAGCGACCACATATGCTTCTCATCTGCTGTGAATCTTGGCAGTGTGCGTCCATGAGAAAGTGCCGGTTTGTTGTTCTTGGATGTGAGACTTTGATCAGTCAGCTTTAAATCTCTATGCGTGTGCGTGTGCGTGCACACCACAGCACCGTTTCATAGAACATAAAATGTTCCTTAGCCCTGCCAATCTGCCGCAGATTGACTTAATATCCCCCCCTTTAAAAAAGAGAGTGAATGAAAACATAACATCTGAATTTGAGCTTTCTCACAACATGGCATGAAAGGAGAGCTGCCACCGGCTTTGAAGAGGGCCGGTGCTCGTTCATGGCTCCCAGACATATAGAATAAGAAGTGAAAGGCTGACAGAGATGGAGGATACAGTGGGAAAGAGGGGAATCAGAGGAAGCAGGAATAAATCCCACACGTCAGGTAGCAGCTTGAAAAGATGTTAAGATGTCTTGACATAATCACTACCAACTGTAATTGGCATATATGATGGCTTAATTCCTGTATTTATTATTGTTGTTAACTTAAATCTTACTAAATTCTTTCCTGTTTTAAAAACGTAATGCTCTGGTTTTGTTTTGATGGTGTTTCCTTTTGGTGCTACTTCAATAGACTACTCACTGAACCTAAACAGCAATTATCCAATCATAGCTTAGCAACTGTAACTACAATCCTGCAACCCCCGCCAGCGTTGAGATAGCGTTATGATTGTTTAGTCATCATCGTAACAGCCAATTCTCTTGCAACGTTGAGTGTATATATGAATCTGAATCTGTTAAAATGAAAGGATATTACATTTTTCCTCATAATAATCACTTGAACACATTAGCTTGACACTGCAATGCAAGGACACTGCGGTTTCTTAGTTTGGTGTTAGTTTGTGATCTACATAGATCTTCAACTTGGGAAAATGCTGACTTAGAGCGCGGAGCGTAGCTTTAGCTTCAAGCTTTTAGCACGATATCATATACGTAGGTGGCCAGCAAGTTCATATCTAAGATCTCTTTTACTGGGTTCCCATTTTGAAATAAGTCAGCTTGAAATATTGAAAAGTCTGGGACTTAGCTTCATTAGCTATCTACAGCCGATAAAGTCTGCTTGCAGCATTTGTCAATCCAGCCGGATAAACTGTTTTTTGAAATGAGAAATTGCTCGAGGCTTTCTCTGTCCGAAATCAAGGACCTTAAAAAAAACAAGTATGTATTTTCTGTAGTAAATCTGCCACCATTATCAGAGACTGCATTTTGTGTTGTACAAGAACGGAAAAAAGGCAACCGCACTACGGAGGCAGGGCTTAACAAACGTACGGTGGCTGTCACTGCTCACTGCCGTGTTTTTTTTTCGATACAGCAAATTAACTCCCAAGAACATACAGTTGTCAGCGAAAAGTACAGGAGGTCTGTTAATGTGGTTTCCAGCCCTGCCCGACCAGATCTAAACATGCTGCCTCATACATTCCTAACAGGGCTGGAGGGGAGGGGAGGGGGTGGGAATCAGAGGAGCTGAGGCAGGTGTATGGCTGGCAAAGGAGAAGGAAAGAGTGAGGGAAGGGGAGAAGAGTAGAGAAAGGGAGGTACAGACAGAGAGATTTTGTTGTTTTCAATTCCACGTTTTGCTGTGCCAGCGTTATACATTTACAGTCAAAGCATTTTGAATTTGGGTTGAAAGGAGAAGAAGGAGGATGTCATATTGACTTGTTCTTTCTGTACGCAGTGTTTACTTTTTCATTTATTTTTACTCACATACTTCTGTGAATTTTGGTTTGGTTTGTTAATACTGGAACACAGGGATTTTCCACACAATTTTATGCCTTTAACTTTGGGTCAACAGTTTTTCTGTTTCAGCATAACAATGCCCCTGCACACAAACCAATTATTGGGTTGGTAGTTATTCATAAATCCATGGCTGACTGTGTGTGAAGTCTGTCCAAATTTCAACTACTAGTTTCATAGATATTCAGGTAGCACCATGAAAAATAAAAAAACAACAACTATGTAAATAGGAAGTTACAGTAGCATCACAATCTTCAAAATCAGAGACAAATTAAATTATTATTAGACAATATTCTGACCCATTATCTCGTCAATCTGAACAGGTAATATATTAACAAGCTAGATAACGTTACTTTTGTTGGTTTTGTTAGCTAACGGTTACACCTGGCAGTTTCTGGGTTGATATTTTTAGTGACAATCAATGACAACTTACTTACTAACTACTAGTTTATGTGATACAACCTGTTTACAGATGTGTAACTATCCTCTTTAGTAAACACTGGTATAACTATAGGCTAAATATGACAGGTGTCCACATACTTTAAACCATAGATTATAACTTGCTTTTGGAAAGCTTTTCTTATTCTTATCATTATTCTGTCTCTCTGGAAAGTTCCTACAAGAGGGTGAGCATGTGAAGTTTGAGGGCAAGTTAAAAAAAAATACTGAGAGGCCTGCAAACAAAGCCTTAGGGAGTATTGCACACGCCCTTTGGCCTCGAAGCCCTGTAAACTGATCCAGGCTTGTCTCTGTGGCTTAGCGTGGCTGTCCAAATTGGTTTTAGTTGTGAGAAAATATGATACGTTTGTGGGATCGTGACTCTGAAACTCTCCCATTTCACTGCCTGACCACAATAAAAGAACATTTTCTTGTAATGACTTGTCTATAACTTCAGCTTCGCCGTCTTCAGAAACACATACCGGGCGTTTATAGTTTTGCAAGAAGACCACACATTCCAGTCAGAGGGCACCTAAATGGCTTGGATGTCAACAGAGGTTTGGAGAAGGACTCATTTGGCTTTATGAGTTGTGGTCAAGACCTCCACTCTGATCTGGAGCAGGGCCCATCTCGTGACTCCTGGTTTCACTTAAAGCTAGGATTTACTGAGGTTCTTGAGGGGAATTTTCTGGTCGAAATAACTTAAATGAATTAATGAAAGACAGGAACACAGAGCAGCACGACATGTTTGATATATGCATCTGCTCGTGGGTATTTCCATGTTAAATTGTATCATTCAGTGATGTGACATTACAGGAAATTACACACCAAGGACAACATTTTGCTCAATCCCCTGGCAAAAGTTTTGTCCACGGGGTAATGAAGGGAGGGACAGGGTGGGAAAGGAGTTTTGAAAGTCCAAAAAGCCCCAAAGACAAACCACCACAGACATGAAGTGGTGCTGAGGGTTAGCTGACTCAGGCCTGGCACTGTGCTCACAAACACCAAAGGTCCGATAAAACAGGATGGAGGGAGGCAACCCTGTCTCCTATGAAATTATGTTCCCATACAACTAAACTGCACTCTCAATTACGAGTGTCTCCATGTGGATGAAAGAACAACATCCGATATTTTCATTTTTAGTTTTTTGTACTTTATTAATCTTCTAGTCTTCTACTTGTACTTGCCCACATTCACCTGTACATGTGACCTTATGGAACTGAGTAGAAACAATCAGAAATGTATAGAATAGTATTGTAGTATTTATGTGGCTGGCAGCAGTATTATTTTTAGTCCAGTAACCTACACCAGTAATTAGTCACAAAAAGTATTACAAATTTGGAAATATAGTCTTTCCCGACCTTGTTGTACTTATGTTGAATTATCCACTGTTCATTACATCCTTTGGAAACAAAGCCTCTTTGAAATGTTTAGTTTTGTTAGATTTTGTTAAATACATTTTACATTTCAAGCTTCTCTTTCAAATAGTATATTTACTTCTTGTCACAGCACAAGTGCCTACTTGCTGCAGTGTGTATACACACTGCAGCCAAATGTTTCCATCCTGAGTCTGCCTCACCGTCTGGATAAACAGCCCAAAAAACATGCCTCGTTTGGTCTTTTCTGCAGAACACCTAACTGCAGATAATCCATAAATTCCATATTTTAATATTGTCACAGATGTGTATTTTCATGGTCAATTGTTCGATTACAAGTTTTTGTATGCTTACATTTAAAATTTGAATAAATATTCATAATTTTCTCAATGCATCCCTATATTTGAGTAAGCTAAACTCCTGAGGAGGTCAAATTAAACAGTTAAGCAAAGTGCCTTATCTTTTAAACATGTCATGAAAGGTTTATGGAGATGCTCCATGTTTCTTTGCTGCAGCAAATTTCTGACCAATGAAGTTATTGATGAAGAACAACTCACTTGACACTTTGGAGCATTATCAAATTGAAGTGTAAATCTGACAAAGAAAGAGTGTGTCCACTGATTAAGACTGAACCAAACCGTTTTTTCAGTAGTTTCACAGTGTTTTGCCGTTGCCTGACTGTGTAGGTGTGACCTGGTAGAGGCCATGTTGTGCTGCTGTCAGGTCAGCTCAGTTCTGCTCTGTGAGTGTTGGACAGGTTGACTTCCTCACTAACGAGACAGACATGAGCGTTTTTTCCACAGAGAGAAAGGAAAACATGAGGAAAGAGAAAAAGTTAGGGAGGGAGGCGAGGAAGGAGAAACGAGAAGCAGGCAGATATTTGAGGGTGGACACTGAAAGGCATGTTTTGGAATTTTAGCTTCCAATAGGAAATAATGTGCTGACAATCAAACATTTGAATCTGACCATTTTTATGCCACAGAAGTCCAAAAAATGAGAGGAATTCAGTTTTCCCCTCAAAAATGTATTCTAATCAGGGTGGGAAAATTCCCTGAAATGAGATTTAGACCACATGGGACATAAAAAGTCAGAACCCCAGAAGTATGATGTTATGTGATGTTACTATTTCAACTACTTTTTCTCCTACTACTGCCTTTAAATTAAAGTTAATGCTCATGTAAGCAAACAGTTGCATATTTACACATCCAGGAGACACAGACGTAATCATTCATGTTGTTTTTCAAGTCCAACATTCCCTCTTCTTTTCGCTCTGTGTTGGTCTTCACCAACTCCTGAGATAAATATTTGGCTCTCTAGCCACAGCCACCGATTGACCCTTTGCTAAGTCCCGCCCCCTGCTGCTACTCCATCAAGCTGTCAGAGCTACCATGAAGCCCACAATGTCACTGACTGCACTCCCTGCGGAAATAATGTTTAATTATTGGAAAAAAGGTAAAAAGCGTTTTTCTGGGAGAAGCAGACAGAAGGGTCTACAATATGTGTTTGAAGGATTTATCCAAGATGTCAAAACTAATTCAGCAGTGACAACAGGTTAAAAAGATAAGGATAGAAGCAAAAGCCTACAGATCACAGGGTGAAAGTGAACCACCACATCGCCTGGTGATCGAGACAGAGGACAATGAAATTAAGAGACAGCACTGTTCCTGTAAAGCGGGGTAGGTCGTTATTCACTGTTACAATCATTATTAAAAAGCAAAAACAGCACGTGTATACATTCAGTATACATTCAGTAGCCATTTGGTTTGTCACTACAAACCCTTCAACACCCGTGACCCCACACAACATTAAATATAATGCAGCTTTAATGTTCAGACAATCAGAGACAACCTGTTTTGTCATTCAGTTTGGAGACTTTGTTGCATTTTTTTGTATAAAGAAAAGGTTGTTAATACTTCATCTGCAGGCCATTTTTTGTGATCTTTTTGTAATCACAGATAGCTTGGCTTCATCAGAAAGTAAATAACGGAAAGATGTAATTGAATAACTGGCTCCACATAGATGTTGCTCATGCATTCATGTTTCTAATAAAAGGCAAGTACTGGCTGACTATATCAACAAACCCATATATCAATCATTGTAACCCTGGAAGAGTTTCCTCTTGTCCTCGTGAACCACCATATGTTTTAGCAACTGTAGAGCGACAGTTGAGTTTGAATTTTCTGCCAAAAAATATCCGGGGCGGACATGCAATTCTTCATCCTTCTCGCTTCCTATGTTTAACATCCTTTATACCTCTCCTCCTGTTTGCCCCTCCCTCTCTCCCTCCATCATTATGTCTGCGTCAGTGTTTTGTGACTCAGACCTGACCTCAGCTGATCCGCCGCTGATTGACATAAACAATCACCTCATTGTGGGGTTTGCAGGCCAAGTTTACTTTTGCTATCAAAACTTTACCGTCATGTGTTTTCTTTATTTGGTTTGACAATAATTTCATATGTGCAAAACTTAACATTAGAATTCTCAAATAAAATCCCCGTTTGTGTCACCACCTATCCCATAATGCTATGCATGATGTTCTCTCTTTGAATTAGCAGTTGTAGGTCACATATTTGCACTAAAACAGTCTGGGATAGAAGTGCTGATTACACAAGAAATAATAAGGTGTATATTTGTTAAAATATACTTTATTCATGAGAAATGATGTACTTGACACTTCAGAGCTTCGTCAGACATTGTGTGCAATTGCTCCTGGTTTTATTCTCCCAGACATTTTCTCTTGTTCTCTCCCTGTAAGAAGCCAGCCTTCTCTTCATGATGAGCCGACTGGGTTCAACCACAGATATTGATCCACAGCAAACATTTGGTTTCAGAAATGATTTTGCAACATTCTTTATTGGCTTGAGAAATGTAATAAAACACAAAAATAGAACATCTTTTTACAACTAAAAATGGTCTGTAAACTAGTAACAGTTAACAGTTAACACGCTAACAGTTACACCCATTTTTAATTAACATAAAAACACACAAAGGGACAGAAGTTAAGGTTGCACAGTGGGGTGATGGATGGTGCCAGGCCATTGTTCTGATGGCCCATTGTTTCGAAACCTCAATAGTTCGACAAATGTCCCATTGGACCAAAGGCCCATTGTCCAACAGCCTGTTATCCTGAAAACAAACTCCCATTGCTCTGAAAATACAAACTCTTCCTGCAACAAACAGAAGCACATGGCTAATTATTATGCAAAATGACATCAATGGACCACACCAGTTGCTATTTTATTTCTACTCTGCCTCTGGTTGGCCTTCTCTAGCATTCTTATCCTGAACCTAACAAATCGTACTCCTCATGCCTAAACCTAACTAAACCAACCATCGAAGGCAAAGAGTAGTAAGAGGCAGAGTGGTGGGTCATGCCTTTGCCAGTATGTGAAAAAATTGGGAAGATCCGATGACGTCATTCTGCATAATAATTAGCCCTGTGCTTTTGTTTGATGCATGGAGAGTTTGTATTTTCAGAGCAATGGGCATTTGTTTTTGGAATAACGGGCTGTTGGACAAATGGGCTTCGGTCTAATTGGACATTTTTCAGACTATAGAGGGGTTTCGGAATAATGGTCTGTCGGAACAATGGGCAGTCACCTGACAGACAACCAAAGTCACACTTCATGGATCCGCTCATTAGCATTTTGTATCCCTTACATTGAGTATTGCAACTTCTGATTTAGTCTCGACAAATGTATTGTAGTATTTAAGAAATAACTTCGTCTGCCTATGTTACAAGCACTAAACAGTCAATTTTTAGCTTGATCCTTATACATAAATTTATTCAGCTTGGATTTGGAACAACTACAATAAACTCCAAACTAAGGACCCAGTTTCTTCTCAAACCATCAAATGCTTATTTGTTCCATTGCTACATTTTCACTAAAAAGAAATACAAGACTATAAAGGCTGCTGTGTTTACCTGTGTGAATATGATTGGATTTCACTAGTCATGAATGAGCAGTTGATGCCAAACAGCTATTGCAAGCATGACTTCAGCCTGAGCTAATGCTAAGCCCCATTTACAAGGACTTTGAGAACTCGCAAAACCTTTCAGGGCCATCCTAAAGCTTAGAGTTGGACTCGCAAGATACATCTTTGGTGGAATATTCTTTAAAATTGCATCACATCTGTCTAGACTCCGTCCACACATTTTCCACATTTCCACAATCAGAAACATCATTGCAAAGTCATTTTGCTGTGCTCATTTTCAAGTGCAGTTCTGAAGTAAGTTCGCAGTAGCATGTGTAATGTATATTACATTATACAGCAATATTTTGCTCGAAGGCCAGCTCTTTTGGCAGTATCAACACGGCCCAATGGCAGTTGGAGTCCAACTGTTTTTCTTCAGCTACTCAGCACCCTGCCAAATCTTTTTTTTTTTTCCTGTTTATGAGTGTATATGAATGTGTTACCCAGCTCTTTTCATTCAGAAACAGGCTGCCCTGCAACAAGGTGTGAGGTTGGGTACCAGTTGGGGTGGTGTACAGTTAATGACGTGTTGTAAGTTCATTGCTGTTACATACACTTATTAAAACATGACAGTAAATGTATTTGTCTAGGCCTTGTGTGGTTTATTGGGTCCTCTGGTTTAATTCTGTGGACGTCATGCACCTTATTTCAGACTTTTCCACCAAAGAATGTGTGATGACAACTTCCTCAGGCACACAATACTACCACCAGAATCAGCACACAAAACCAACAACTGTTCTCACACTTTGAACCACCGAGGGACTGTTTTCTCCCGAGTAAGCTGCTCAGCTCAGAGGAAACATTTGAGCAGAACAAAAACCATTCTTTTTATTCTGCCAAGAAAGCAGTATCGTACTTAACATGTTCAGTACATTACAGAGACTTCAGGAGGAGGCTGCAGGGGATTGTGAGGCAGCAGTTTGTATGATTTATAACATGATTAATAAAACCTGTTGGTGGCTCCAACAGAATTGGTTTCAGTCCATTAAATACCTTTTTTCTGTCTTTCTTTCTGTTTTGGCAGACAACTATGGTGGATACGAGAACCAGCTTTTCAAAGGTAATAATCAAACTTTTCTATTGTCTAAGAAACATAAATGTCAACCAGTGCACGATACGTGGTCGTCAGCCACATGATGAATGGGATGTTGTACAGATATCCACAATCTGTAAATTGTTACTGCCCTTACTCGATCTTGTAAGATTCACCTCGATCGGTTTTAGAGAAAAGTAAAGTCTTGGGAAGCAAAGTATCTCACCATGTTTGACCTAGACAGAAAATTGTACTCCAAATCATATCCAACATACATATGACATGTATTCATGTCGCATTTTCATCATTAAGCTGACATATAACTGCGTGGCATAGCATTGCCAGCCTGGCAACAACTTTTAAAAGTTTGTGCTGAGCCCTGGTCATGTTTGCATTTGTTCTTCTTGTCTTGTTTTTTAGAGGAGGATTTCACTGGAGAGGAGGAAATGCCTTCATTTAGAGGTGAAGGCCACACACACACACACACACACACACACACACACACACACACACACAC